AGGATTTGCAAGAGCGTTCTCAGTTCTCTAGTCCAGTGCTTCTCAAACTATTTGATGTGGCGGACTGGCAATTTTTTTTCCAGTGGGCCATGGACCAGTGCCTGGTTCAGCCGGTGGCAGCAACTGCATGTAACAGTGCTACACAAATGCCCGACCGGCTGTTTCTTTCTCTTTCCTCACCTTGCACAATGTGACATCACCTGGAGTGTTGGAACGTACGAACTGTGGCTCTATGACATATCAATGTTATGCTTCTGAAAATATATTTCTTTCTTTCCTGGCAACTCGCTGCAGACCGGTGGCTCGCAGACCGGCAGCGGTCCACGGACCACCACTTTGAGAAGCACTGCTCTCGTCTGCATTTATGTCTCACAATGACTACTTTAGGGCAATCTTCACCCAGCTGATCTGGAGGATCTGGATCCCCTAGATGCCACTCCAGTCTTTTGTATTAAACTTAACGGGAATGAGAATTTTTTATCTTTACCCATTTGCTGGAAAGAGGTTCAGTCTCAGACAATGCAATATGAGAAGTATGTATATACATCTCACCTATTTCTGCATACCCCTTTTTTCATTTTGTTTTTTAAATAGATCCATCTTTGCTGTGGGGACCAGTCTCTTGGAAGCACTGAAATACCACTAGCTGGTTTGTTGAAGAAAGACATTATAGAGTTTGAACATCCTCTGGCAGTTGAAGAGGCATTCATCCTTGTTCCCCCAAATCGAGCCAAGCAAAAACTGCCACTGTTGCCTTCTGATCTGGCTCCTACTGTTGGGGTATCTGTAACCTTACAAAAAGAAAACATGCACTCACAGGTATGAATTACTCATTTTTAATTTTGATTTAAATATGGTTTTAAGAATTATAATGAACTTAACTCTTATTTTTAAAAATCGTGTATTACATTTTAAAGCATAAAAGGAAAACCAAGAGAAAAATCTACAATATTTTAAAACAGTAATAAATAACTTCTTCTTTGCTTACCTATAACATTAAAATATCAAATTACATAGCTATTTTAAAGAGTATATATACGTGTTTAAAACCATTTGATTTTTATTTAGCCTTTGCTTCAGTTTGACACTCAGACTGAGCCAGAACACTCGCAGAGAAGAGTAGGTTCCCCTACAAGGGAAGGAAGCAGCAGCCCAGAACACAGATCCCAGAATGCACCAAATAGCCAGTTCCCTCCCACAAAGGATGAAGCAACAGAAAGTGAAGCAGAAAGTCTTCAGTATGACAAGGGCACAAAACTAAATAAAAAAGGTATGTATTGTTATAACAAGGAATGTTCCTGGAACCATTCTGTCTCCTCGATCACATTGGGATCATATGGATCCCTTTGTTATGGGGATATTTAATACTAAAAGTTAATGCATATTTAAAAAAAAAAAAAAAGACAGTAACAGCAGAAAATAAGTGGAAGAGCCAGTGGTCGGTAATCAATGCTCTGTCGGTCATTGGTAATTTATTAACAATAATTTGAAATACACTGCTACAAATCAGGGGTTGGAACCTATTGCCAGTGGGCCAGATCAGGCCTGTGAAGTGATTTGGCTCTGGCCTGTGGCAGCTAGAGGCTCATAGAGTATCCACAACCCCCCATTTCTATCTCTCACTTCTTCCAGCCCCGTACTACACACACTGCCTTTCTCACTGCTCTTGAAAACTTAGAAGGATAGAGGTTCCACAAGCTGTGTAGGTAGCTTATTCCAAATGCTTAACCACCCTCATAGTAAAAAAGTTGTTTTTTAATACACAACTTGAAATTTCACTTTTTTTGAATTTAAGTTACTTCTTTAACCAGCTTCCTTTGTATTTGACGATTGTAATCAAATTCTCCTTCAGTCTTTCCTTCTCCAGGCTAAGAAATCCCAATGCTTCTAACCTTCTCTCATAAGTCATACCTTTAATGTTTTGTTGCTCTCCTTTGGAATCTTTCTAATTTTGTTCTTCTCTCTTTTGAATTGTGGTGCTGTGGTGGGAGAAACCTCCCTAAGGTTCGTTGTCTAGCTGTAATTTGATAGACAGACAACGCGGGTAAAGAAAGACAGCTGTTTATTTGCTCGAGCAAAGACCATAATGCAAGCAAAAGGCAAAATGGCCCCCCCTCAAGGGTGAGGCGATCTTTTATATTTATTACAACAAGGCAAGACTTCATGGTAAAAAAAAGCAATACTTGGGCGGTGCTTTACAAATCTTTGTAACAGCATATTTCTATTAAGCTGAACTAGCACTTCTTAAAAGCTAAAAGTTAAGTAACAGTAACATTATAATATGTTAGCAAAACCTTACACAGTAGTAGATACTTCTCAAGGACACAACCACTGCACCCAGAACAATGTCTTATCTTACTTCTTGCTGTAGCTGATTTTTTAGCACACAGACACAGATCCACTTTTTAACCCAGAAAATGCTTAATACAGTTAAAATGGTTACATGACACAAGCAAAGGCTTAGCTATCATTTTGCCTTGTGGTCAGCTGCATTGCTAGGCCACAGGTCATGCCTTGTATTCAGCTATAAAGCTAATACTTCCAAATTATTGTAAACCTAACAGTATGTTATCAGAAAACTATTTTATTTCAGGGTAATAACAAACCTGCGCACTACAGTGCCACTATTGATTTGCGTATTCCAGGTGAGGCCTTCACCAGTACCGAATAGTGGAAAAATCATTTTACTTGACTTGCAGTCAAGTACTGTTAAAACAACCCAGTATGTTATTGGCTTAAGGCAGGATAAGGTGGCACCTTTAGACACTAACTCGATTCAGAAATTAATTAGCTTTCATGGGCAATGGCCCTCTTCATCAGTGACTCTTATGACAGTGATTCTTAACCAGGGTTCTGCAAGATCTTTTTAAGGGTGGCATGGAGTACCATGCAATGTTAACACTTTTAGGGGTACAAACATGATTCACAAGATTAAACCCAGAAATTTTGAATAGGAATCCCTAGTGTACTGTAAGAATATTCTGACCTGTTGTGGCCTTCCTGGGTTCTTTGTAACAGAAGAATTGTTTTGTTGTTTTTCTCTACTAAAAAATGAATGAGAACTCACATTTTATGGGGTGCCTTGAGTCTAATGAAACTGAGAACTATTGTACTACAAATATTGGCTTGTTTTGCAACAAAAGTATCCTGTTGATTCCTTTTCAGTTTACAGTCTACTATAAAAGTCCTTTTCTGCAGTATTGCAGTTTAGCTAATCATTCCCCAATTAGTAGTGTTTTGGATGGAACAGAAGATAAAGCTGTGTTTAAAACTCCCTTGTATTATAATTTCAGCTTTGACTTCTCCAACACCTGTTTCTCAGTCCAACCCTCAGCCTGCATCCAGTGCTTCTGAGTCTACTTCAGCACAAAAAATCATAGTACCCGCAGCATCGCATCATTTTTGCTTTTCAATAGATTTACAGAGTATTCATAATCTAGATGTCGGATTTCCAGTCAACTGCATGTTAAGGTATGTTATATTTTATTTGCTGATTGTGCTGTTAGTAATGGTACTGGTTCTCTTTTCCCAGATAAAAGGAAAGAAATACACCACTTGGAAGTATTGGTAATAGAGGTTGCCATACCTTTTCACTTCAAGTAGCTGCGTATCAGGCCTTTTCATAACAAAAAAAGTTCTGAGAATAGCAGGGTATAATGTAATATTTTACTTGTATTGGATTTTCTTCTTATACCTATCACTAAGATCTCAGCCCAAATGAGACCAATCATTACTCAGCTCTTAGATAAGAGAAGATGGTTACCTTGTTTTGCACCTACTTTTTCAGAATGAGTGTTAGTAGCCTTGCCCATTTATTCTTCATCCAATAATGGTTCCCTGTGGAGTTTATTGTAGTTCTTTTGCTGCTAAGGCACAGATTACCACAACCTGATTTTTATGGCTGAGTGGGATCCTTTGGATTCTCACATTTTTAAGAACGCGTTTTGGCAGTCCATTCCTATCAGAAAAGAAAAAAATTACATAACAGTTCATTTTTACAAAGCTTTCTTCTAGAACAGCTCTTCAAAAGGTTGTTATCCTGTATCACATGTAGCATTTTCATTAAAAATAAAAAGTAACTTTTTCTATTTCGATGCTTCAAAATGTGTGGCTGCACCTATTGATTTCCCCAGAAGCTAAAGACTAAAATATTCTAACTAGCAGGCTATACATATTCATTTCATTTCCCATTTGTTTTGGAGTCTAGCTTCATTTGAAGTCAGAACAATTTAAACAATAGTATATACATGCACTACTGGGGAATGATAGTCTTGTCAGCAGCAGTATCTGAGACAGATTTTCTGTTATGTTGGTCAGCTGGCTGATAGCATTAGTAAAATAGTAATTGGGCTTCCATTTGATCATTAATATAATGTCACTGGGTGCTGGTTCAGGATAATGTTGTGTGGTATTCCGTGGGAATCAAAAAATATTTCAAAGGCTTAGCTCTGACTTTAAAATATGCATTTAAAATGGGTTAGAAATCTATCTTCTTGTAATTTTAAACATTAAATATAATCTCAGCTATGGCTAATATCTTTTTTTTTTAATGCTTGTTTCATGCAGTCTAAATAAGATAATAAGATTTAGTCTCCCACAGTGCTTTCAGAAGGCATATGTGTGAAAATCTAAAAGTTTTTAAACAATAGTAATATTTAACATTTTACTCGTGGGTCTGAATATTAGCAGTGCCTGTTAAGACCATGTCTGTGTTCAAACAACAATGAATTCTGGGCTCTTATCCTGTATTATTAAAACCAGTTGGAGCCTGGAGTGTCAGTGTCTGATTTGGCCCTTTGGATGTTAATTTATTTTTTTTTTTGTAATTTTAGTTGTGTATACACAGTCTACAGGGGGAGTATTGATTTATCAGTTGATGACACCAGTAACTTCAGTTTTTCTTTAATACTCTTACATCAGTTACACAAACTGGATGAGCAGGTTCATCTTAGTCAGGAAACCCATTTCAATTGTGCTTTTTTTATCTCTTCTCATTAGGTACTCATATCCCTTTTTTGGTAGTGCAGCTCCGATTATGACACATCCTCCTGTAGAAGTGAGGAAAAACACGGAAGTCTTTCTTCCTCAGTCGTATTGTGCATTTGACTTTGCAACTACACCTCATCAGCTTCAAGAAACTTTCCTCAGGTAGAACTTGCTTGTTTTTTGTTTCCCTTTAATTAGAGGGAGTATTACTTAACTGTGTTTTCAGTATAGAAAAACAGTAACAAATATCTTAATGTATCATAAGTTTGTATAATTGAGATGCTTTTCTTGTCTTCTAAGGTGTACATGCTACAATTCCATAGTATTTGCTTACATTGGTAGAGATTTTTAATTCAATGATCATTACCAATAGAGGCATCTATTTGTGTAAATTCTTATCAAAGTGAAAGTTATATAATCTAGCCTTCAAAAGCAGATTCAGTTTTGCAGTTCTATAGTAAGATTTCTGTGTGCATAACCTACTTTGGCAGTCACCAGAAGTTTGCAAAATACTATGGTTTTCAGGAGGATTAGCAAAACTACATGGATTAGAGCAGCGATATTTCAACCTACTGTATGATGGGGGAATTGGAGAGAACCATGGCTGGAAGTGATATCAAGAGATAATCTAGTCCAGTCCTCTTGTAGCATATGCAGAGGGAGAAAATATTATTTGGAGGGGAGGGGGGTGCTGAGAGTGTGTGTGTACATGCACACACACAAATCTGTGGAGAGGGAAGGGATGTGGGGGGCCAGATTAAGGCTCCCACAGTGAGGGAGGGAGTGGGGCAGGGGCTGGGGTGAATGGAGCCCCAGGGAGGGCTATGGGATGGTTGGAGCCCGAGCAGCTCATTCAGGGACACTGGGGGGCTCACTACTACACACACCCCTGTGGAGGAACAGGTGGCATGTGCCCCCTGGATTTGTGCATGGGGCAGGGGCAGGCTCCTGCTGTGTACTGGGGGCCTGTGCCCCGCTGCCATTGCCCAAAGAGCTGTGCAACACCATGTCTGCCACTGCTAGACAGGCAGGGGAAGCAGCACAGCATGGCAGCGGGAGACACGTGGCGTCATATGGCTCCTGAGGCAGTGACAGTAGGAAGCAGAACCTCATCCCACAGCGGCAGCCCACCTCCACCCTGCACACATCTCTGGGGGCGGGGGCATGTGCCCTCTGTCCCTCCCCCATGGTGTACACAGCTGAAGAAGTACCCCCATGTCCCTGGACAAGCTGCCCAGGTTCCAACTATCCCATGACCCACCCCAGGGCTCCATTCACCCCTGCCCACTCCCTCCATCACTGTGGGTGCCTCAATCTGCCCTCCTTACCCCACTCCCCTTCACAGACTTGCCTGCTGTGGTGGGCAGTGCTCCACACGCAGCCGGGCTGTAATCCTGGCCTCGTTCAGGCTTTGGCTCCGTGTCTGTGATCATCTCGTGCTGCAGCTGCCTGGAGCCTGCAGCCAATCTGTACTGTGGCCCTCTGCACTGCCATTGCTGCCCCACATTTTGGGGGAGGGTTAAGACTTGTTAGCCCCAGCCTTCTGCCGCCTATGGGAGGGAAGGATCATCCTTTTTTTAAAACCATTCCAGCCCAGTGTAAATTGAATGGAGAGTAAATGAAAATGCAATCTTTACACTTCTTTTTCACCATATTTTTTTTTTAAAGGGACACTTTGAAGTAAAGCAGCAGAGAGGAAGTTAATAAATCTAATTCTTCTTTAGGAATGGAAAATATTTCTAAAATTGACTCCATCATGATTTGATGAAAAATTCTGTATATTGTAGCAACATAAAACAGTCATGGTGATCTAGCTAAAACATTTAAATCAGGGTTGTCAAATTCACCTGGGGCCCCAGGCTGGATCTGGACTATGGGGCTCCTTATGGGCGTGATCCAACCTAGGGCATGAGGGCTGCTGCACCGGCCACTGGTGTGGTGGGGGTGCTGCAGGATTTGGTGACAGCGAGCCAAACCTACCACCAATGGCCATGTCCAGTGGGGCATGGTCAAAGAGCCCAATCTCTAATGCCTTATGGCAGCGTTTCTCAACCCATGGGTTGCAACAATGTCAAAAGATCACGAGCTGTGACAGGGCACAGGGGCAGCAGGAAGGTGCCTGTCCCTTCCAGGAGGGGAGAGCTGTGTGGCTGGGCTGGCGGCACTGGGACCCGTGCCCATGCTCACAGGGGTGGAGCGGCTGGGAGATGCTTCTTGGAGGTTGGGAGGGGTCCTGGCCAGGCTGCTTGGCATAGCACAGCGTGGCAGCCCCAGCCCAGGGCAGCGGAGGTGCCACAGGCCTCTCCTTCTCCCCTCTCTAGCCCATGCTGGGGCCAGACTCACTCAACTGCTGCCCACAGGAGCTGTAGCTGCCACAGGCCCCATGCTTCAGCCTGAGTGGGACTGGGCAGCTGGGGGCCCCTCTGGCAGGGCTGGGTGGGTCAGGGGGCTGCAGGTCAGGAGTGAGGGACACCAGCATGGCCTGGGGAGGCAGGGAACTGGGGGTCAGGCACTGGCAGGGCCAGGGGGTGTAGGTTGGGACAGGCCATGGATCTTTGCAAATGGGTCCCGGTAGGAAAAAGACTGAACCACTGCCCTGTGGCAGCCCAGTTGGCTATGCAGGATGAGAGGGGGCTGCCACTGAGGGCTGGGGCTTCTCCAGGCTCTTCCCAGAGGGGGTTGGGCCAGGTTACACTTGGGGCAGGTGGGCAGCGGTGCTGGGAGGGGCATTGGGGAGGACTACAGTGAATTGTGGGGGGCTATAGCCCCCCCCTCCCAGTGCCGCTGCTGCCCACCCCCAGAACAGCCCAGCCCCCGCTGGAAATCCCAACACGGTCCTGGCCACAGCCTGTAGCGGCAGCCTTCCCTGCCCCATGCACAGATCCAGGGGCACATGTCCCCCATACCCTCCCGGGGTGCATCCAATAGTGAGAGCTGCCCCTTCACCTTCCTGTGTCCCCGGACAAGCCGCTTGTAGCTCCATCCTGTGCCCTGCCCTGGCTGAGCAGTGCCTACACCAGCCCTAGCCCCACTTCCTCCCTCACTGCAGGGGCCTTGATTTGTCCCCCCACCATGCCCCTTTCCTCCCCCCACCCCTTCCACTACAACATACTTACCAGCTGGACCCTGCTCTTCAAGATACCAGGCTACCCATCAGAAATTGGATTGGTATCAGCTGATATGCCTCCTTAAAAATCAGCTATCGGTATCGGCCCAAAAAATCTCTATCTATGCACTCCTAGTCCCCTCCTTCTCCCCTCCCCCCGAGTCTAAAAGAAATGGTATGTTTTTGCTGTGGGTGATAACAACGTCCTGCCTCCAGACTGGTTTGGGAACTAACTTTTAGAAAAGGGGATCTTGTCACTCCAAAGATTAATGTTTTTGAGTGGTTAAGTACTAATGCACTTTTCTGTTTTAGATTACCACTGTTGGTTGAATTGTGGCACAAGGATAAAATAGCTAAGGACTTACTTCTAGGAGTGGCAATGTTGCAGCTTTCAAATGTTTTGGCCTTGGAAAAAACTCGGTTCTTAGGTACTAATGGCGAACAGTGTTGGCGTCAAACTTGCAGTGAAAGAATCGGTGTGATAGCAGCCCAAGGGTAAAACAAATTTTTAAAGTCATTTGCATTATAGCAAGTCTTCTTTATAAGACTGTTTAAATGTTTCTTTTCTGCAAAATAACTTATTTCTTCCTTTTTCCATTTATGCTACTTTGAAAAGTTCTGTTTTCTTAGCTTTTATTTAGAAACACTTGGTCAGATTCTTTAAGGAGGTAGGTGCTATTTCTTCACAAAAATGTTATTCATAGATGAAGTGTATATTGTGATAACATGATAGTTGATATGAATATTTATTATTACAATCTTTTTTCACATTTTAAACTCTCCTCTTTACGGAATTTAAAATTTATGTCCGAAGTGCTATAGAAATGTAAGTTATAGCTAGAATTACTTGGAAAAATTTCAGACAGCCCCAAAATGGGATTTAGTAAAAGCTTGTTTTTTGTAAAACTTAAGAAGAATCGATATATTTTTAACTTTTGTACAAGTAAACATTCCCCTCTGAAAATGAAACTGATCAGTCCTTCCAAGTTAAGAATATAAAAATAAACAGAATAAATATTGATAAGTTTATGATGTTTTTCAAAATATTTTAATAGGAAAGTCTAAAAGAGCTCAAATTCCCATTAATAAAATATTTTGAGGCACATTTAACTTAAACTTGTTTTTTATATCCTTTAGTATATATATCTGCAAGTAGTTTCTGAGCCACAAATTAATTCACTTTCAGGCTACAAATAGACATTGTTTTTGTTGTGGGATCAGTTGTGCTGGGATGTGTCCCAGCACATCTGACCCAAATGATTGACAGATACAGATGTCCCTTGGGGCTGTTGTCCTGCAGGATTGGGCTCCTGGCACTCCCAGGGCTTCAGGGGCCCCCTCCTGCGAGACAGTGACTTTGGCTGCCTGGCTTTGGCCTTGACCTTGAGCGGGTGACTGCAGGTTTGGAGTAGGGAACCACATGGACTTCAGCATAAAATGTGTGCCCTACAGCATAAAATGTGTGTATTCCAGAATTGCCTGTCTGCGGTAGCTGAAAAGCATGGCAAGTCTCGGGCTGTAGGGATCAACATTGCCATAATGAGGCATCTATCATGATCAAGCAGCACAAGCTATCAATAGGAATAGTTATGTTCACATTTTTGAACATTTGGGGCATAAGGGGCCAGGATATCTGCTCGCCTGCATTTTGTACTGCCATAAAAACTTCTCTGGCATGATGGGGGAGATGTTTGTGGCCTTAGTGCTCCTTGTCATGAACTAATAATTTGTCATCTGTGCTTAGCTAATAAAACTTAGCTTGTTAGTTTTGGGGCTTTTTTGTGTGTGCACGTGCACATCTCCCCTCCCCCTTTTTCCTTTTTTTTCCTCAGTAACTTTAAATAGCACTTTTCATTCCAGAACTTTTTTTACTTTAAAAACTCCTGAATTAGAGGATTGTGTGGTCACACATTTTCCTGAACAAGAATTTAGGAATGTAAGAAATCACATATAGAGCACTATAATTTTAGCTTGCCAGTTGTTTTTTGTTCTACCCCTTGCTTTTGAAGATCTAATAATTTGTTTGCCTCTAGAAGGTGTTCTTTTTCTGCCTGACCATAGAATGAAGCAATTTTTTTAAAAGCTAGGTTGCTAAAACAATTAAAGGAGAAAATGTTGAAACCCTTAATTGTTACATACATGCTGAACCTTGTGTGTTTTAAGTTGCTCTATTGATTTCAGTGGGACTTTGCAGAAAGTGTATTTCTTCCTCTTGTGAAGTTCACATGAGTTTTTTTTCATGGATTTTAGTAGAGCCAGGATTTCACCTCTAGTTCGTAAAGGGTAAGCATGTGTGTAATTATAGTTTTGACATATGTTATGGTTTCAGTATAAATTCAAGTAGATGCCTTCCCTTTCCCCACCCTGAGTGAAAATATTTGTTTGAAATGAACAAGTGAAGTATGTACGTATTACACAAAAGTTACTAACCACTAGGTGGCATTCTCAAACACGATTAGTCTTGGGCTTTTTACTGTAACAGTGAATGTCAGTTTGGATTAAAGCAGAGGTTCTCAACCAGAGTGCTGTGAAATAGCTTTTGCTGTCTTTGCCTACAGTAAAAGTAAGAGCTGGCATTTTCTGAGGGGTTCTTGAGTCTAAAAGGAGGCATCAAGGCTAAGATCCCAATTAAAATATTCACTGTCTTAAGTATTTTCAAAGCCAAGGGGAAATGATGTGGGGTTAGCACATATCTCCGATTGTAGCTCTAGGGTCTGGTGAAAGGACAGTGGAACTGAGACTTGCAGGGATAGAATTATCCCAGGGAAACCTTATCTGTCCCTTGGGAGACAAAGGGAGAAACATGGGGTTCCAGGATACCTCAAAAATAGATCTGTGACAAGGACCTAATTCATTCTTAATGCAGTTACCTATTTTCAGAATCTCTTTTTTTATATATATCAAGAATAATAAATCTGCTTTTGAAGATGTTTTACTAATGTAGTGAAACTCCTATTTTCAATAATAGGACCCCTAGATAGGGTTTTATTTTCTTTAAAAGCCCTGGGAATAAAGGATTGCCAGCTCTACAGTGGAACCTTTGGGCATCTCACCTGTTTGTGGGGGAGTGGAGAACGACACATTTTGTATAAAGGGCACTTTGAAAGAAGCAGTTGTCCTATTCTATAGGAGGTTACTGCTCTGTTTAAATGAGAATAGAGTAGGTGAGAAAGTTGTTAAGTTAAAATGTCAAAAGAGCTTAAAGTGGAAAGGTAAAGAATTTCAGCAAGAAGGAGTATTGATTGAAAGAATACTATTCAAACATTCCTTGGTATAACAAGTATGCCATCTAGAAGGTTAAACGTAATTATTTTAAAAGTAAATCCCAAAGTAAATTTAGTTTCAGAAATCTTTGAACAAGTAAATTTTTTTTCGTTTCATAAATTCAAGATTGTAATAAAAAATGAAGCATTGGGTCTTGTAGGAATGTAATAAAGTAACGTACTAATTTTTTATGGGTTTGCTTGGTAGCAGCAAACTAATCTTGATTGTTTTTTAACCTGTGATAAGTTCAATATTTACCTACTGTGGAGATATAAAATGGTTCTTATATTATGATTATTTTGTAAGTGTTAATGAAACAGTCAGATTATTCTGTAAGATGTTTTGCCTTGCTATCCTACACTAATTTCTTATAACTTTTAAAGTATGTAAGCTATACAATATCCAACAAAAATGTTTCTGATGTAATTTATAGGGCAAGCAACAGGATAGCAGAACTTTCTTACACTGTAACTCTGGAGGACTATGGACTTGTGAAAATGCATGAAGTTCTGGTGTCAGATTCTTCTCAAGTAAATAATACATTAATATAACCCCACCTCCATACCCCTCCCCTTTTTTCTCTCTAAGGCTTCAATTGTAGTTTTAATAATAGGAAATTAGGGTTGGAAGGGACTTCAGGAGCTCATCTAGTTCAATCCCCTGCTCAGAGTAGTCCCATCCCCAGCTAGAACATCCCAGCCAAGGCTTTATCTAGCCAAGTCTTAAAAAGCTCCAAGGATGGAGAGTCCACAACCTCTCTGGGTAACCTGTTCCAGTGCTCTACTACCCTCCTAGTGAGAGAAGTTTTCCTAATATCTAAACTAAACTTCCCTTGCTGCAACTTGAGACCATTGCTCCTTGTTCTGTCATCTGCCACCACTGAGAACAGTCTAACTCCATCCTCTTTCAACCCCCACCCTCCCTCCCATCCCCTCAGGTAGTTGAAGGCTGCTATTAAATCTCCTTTCAGTCTTCTCTTCTGCAGACTAAATAAGCATAGTTCCCTTAGCCTCTTCTCTTAAGTTATGTGCCCCAGCCTCCTCACCATTTTCATTGCCCTCTGCTGGACTCTCCAATTTGTCCACACCTTTTCTGTAGTGGGGGGCCCACAACTGAACACAGTACTCCAGATGTGGCCTCACCAATACTGAATACAGAGAAATAATCACTTCTTTTGATCTGCTGGCAACACACCTACCAATGCAGCCCAGTATGCCATTAGCCTTCTTGGCAATAAGGGCACACAACTGGCACATATTCAGCAGGGCTGTGTGAAACAGCACCGTTTTGTTTCAACGTCCATTTCGCCATTTTTAAGGGACAGTGTTTCATTTTGTCGTTTCATTTCAAAGCACTGTCCTATTTCATTTTGTCGAAATTCGCTGTTTCAATGCGTTTTGACCACAGGCTATAACAGAGAATCATGAAAATGCCTAAAACTTTGTCATTTCGTGCCTGAAAATTGCAGGGATGGTAGCCCCTTCTGAGGGCATGAAGCCTGCCAAGTTTCAAGGAGATGGATGCAGAGGTTTCTGGGAAACTGCACCTCAAACTGTTCAAAGCACAACTGAAATTGCCAGCAGTGCCAGCCTCCTCTCATCTGGCATGCAGATATGAGGGCCTGCACCCCCGGGAGGGCTGCAGGGCTGTGCCGGACTCTGCCCTGGGTGTGCGGGCCCCCTGATCCCTCAGGAGGAGTCCAGCACAGCCCCGCAGCCCTCCTGGGGGTGCGGGACCCTGGATCTGCGCACTGGATGACTGGAGGCAGCTGCTGCCTCCTGGGACCGGTGCCAAAGCCAAGTAAGCCCGGCTTCGAAACTCAAAATATTTTGAAACTTTCAAAACGTTTCAAGTGCCCTCGTTTTGTTTTGAAGCTGCTTCGAAGCCTTTTTGTTTTGTTTTGATTTTGCTGTTTTGAGCTCGATACGCATTGGAACAGCTTCGAAACAAAACACCCGGCAAAATTTTGCACAGCCATAATATTCCGGTTATTGTTTGCAGTAACCCCTAGGTCCTTTTCTGCAGTGCTGCTGCCTAGCCAGTCATTCCCCAGCCTGTACCTGTTGCATGGGATTGTTCCATCTTAAGTGCAGGCCTTTGCACTTGTCCATATTGAACCTCATGAGATTCTTTTTGGTCCAGTCCTCCAATTTGTTGAGGTCTTCTTTAAGAATTAAAATTACTCTTTATCTTTGTGATCAGTGTTTAGGTAAGCAGCAGCCGATCCATCTACCTCAGCCTCCTCGTGTCCCAGAAGCCCAGACAGAGCCACGAGAAACTCTTGAATACAAAGCAGCACTTGAATTAGAAATGTGGAAGGAAATGCAGGAGGACATGTTTGAGAACCAGGTTTCTATACTGTTTTATTTTAAGCAAAATCAAATGGCATGTCTGCTTTAGAGAGGTTAAACCAAAGCAGAGGAAAATACTAGCTACTGATATTTGATTTACCTTTTTAACAAAAGGGGGAAATGGCTGATATAGACTCATGTGACTAAAAATGCTGTGTATACATGCTTTCTTTTATTGGCCAGATCATGGTAACCGGACCATCTTGCCATAGACTAAAACAGATGCTATAAGATTTACTATTTTGAAAATGTTATATAACAAAATTTTTATAAAATGCAGTGGGTGCTAGAGTTCAAAATGTGACTGCTATTGGATATTAAATCTGAATACTTAGACTGTTTTCTCCATCAGTATCCATTGTTAGATTTTCTTTTTTGGTGTTCTCCCTCAGTTCTTGAAGACATTCTGTTGATATCAAAGAAATTTAGTTAAAATGATGATAGTAATTTTTTTCTGAAGTATCTGTATGCTGCTTTTAAAAGTGAAAAAAAAAATTAACCTGTTAAAAATAGGGATATTTCTAATTTTATGTTGTGCAGTACTAAGTACACGATTTAGTAATGTTAGCATGTTTTACTATTAGAGTACAAAGGTGTTATAGTAACACAGATCATAATACGATGTAGTATGTTATTAAATAGGGTACAAAGCAGTTTGCTAAATAGCTTTATTAGCTTAATTGTTTGTGTCCTCACTCTGTAAAAATCCTTGCCTGGCACATATTCTGCATTTCATATGGATATAGAACCTCTGCATGTGGAAAAGCAATGTCTTAAATTGGCTATGTGATTCTGAGAAATAATTTTTATGTTTATCTTTTTGTTAGTTTGTAGCACCTTTCAAAAAGTGTCTGTGTCCTCATTGATTACATTTTCATTCTTCCATAATCTCTTTTCTTGTTCCTTTTTGATAGCTAAAAAAGAAGGAGCTGGCTCACATGCAAGCACTTGCAGATGAGTGGAAAAAAAGGGATAGAGAGAGAGAAGCATTAGTAAAGAAAAAGGTAACGAGACTGACACCCCATGTATTCTGTAGACTTAACAGTATGCTGATGCATTCAATAGTGACCAACAAAAAACAGCAGGGGACATGGGGTTTAGTGTAAAGACTGAGTCCTAACGTTATTACAAGCAAAGACAAAGTAGGCTTTGCTAATTAATACAGAGCACTCTGGCTACCAGTCTTGGTGCCAAACAGAAAGAAGGGGGAAAAATAGATCCTTACAATGTCAAATAACTTTTTCTATAACAATTAGCCTTAATATTTGAAGATCTCACTTGCTGTATATGCACAATTAAATTTCTGATATTTGACACTAATACTTCATAATTTATTTCATACTATTTTATTATGTGGTATTAATTGAAAACTGTGGAATCTTCATCCCTGGAAAATTTTCAAGAGCAGGTTAGATAGGTACTTGACTCGTGTGGTTTAGTCGGGGAGGCTCCTGCCTTGAGCAGGGGACTGGACTAAACCATGAACTCATGGTCCTTTCCAGTACTACTTTCCTGTGATCCTATGAAAACTGGAGCTCCGGGCTTATGTAAAGTTACGATTTAGTTGCAAGGAAAAAAATAAAAACAGTAGTGCTTGTGTCTGAGTATTTTTGTTTTGTTTTGGGGGCATTTTTAGGTTGCAGAATATACAGTTCTGGAAGAACAACTTCAGAAAACTTTGAGAGACTTAGAAAAGCGTGAACAACAGCTTGTCGGTGCAGAAGCAGAGGTAACATACTTTAATTGATAGTTTAAGACAAGTAATCAGAATGTAAAAATACTCTCCATATATACATACATACATACAGTAAAAGCTATGTTAACCAGCACTTTATTAGCCAGAAAACTGTATTAACTGGCATCCGAGCAACGCGGCAAAAGCAAAACCAGAAGTACCACTTCTGGGGGACTTCCTGTTTCACCGTTGCAAACTGAGTATTTCTTCGCCACTTTTTCGGCCCACAGCCCAGGGCAAAGCAGCCTGCACGGGGCCTAACTTCCTGTCCCCCGGCATACTAACACCGGGGAGTGCACCAGACAGTGTGTGTTTGATTAACCGACTTCCCCCATTCCCGGGGGATGCCGATAACAGAGCTTTTACTGTACATACTCTTCAGTTTCCCATGGAGACAGTTGTATTGTTATGAGGACTCTCAAATTTATCTCTCCATTCACTGCAATGCAAAACCTGAATTCTGACCTCAGCATTAGTAGTATGTAAACAGAGCTATCTGGGTCAGGTTAATAAACGACGTTAGAAATCTGTACAGTCTGTATCCTTCTGTCAGCCTCAGGAGAGCAGATGCAGCAGTTAGCACCTACTATATCTGAATGCTCTGCATGGGAGAGGAAAGTGCACAGGGCTAATCATGGATATGGGATATTTCCAAATCGTGACATTTCAGCAGTACCAGAAATGTTATGTTAGTTAATATGGGACATCAGCATGACCGTTATTCTAATTCCATGGCTGAAGCTCATCTTATTGTATCTGCCTATTTTGACACTTAAACAGAGTTGAAGTTCCCAATGTGCGACCATCTGACTCCTGCTTAAGATTGTCTGACTCCTAACTCCCAACTTAGTTCAGACCCTCCAAGATTTAATCTGCATTGTAAATCATCATATGTCAGTTACTTCGTGCTTCCTTTCATAATTCTTGTGGGTGGCTAGAGTTTGTCTGCATTTGCTTCAATGAAAGTATTACATTTTTTAGTTACATCCATATTTGCCTCAAAAATGACCAAAAATTGAATGGAACAATGAAAGCTTACAGACAGTATTAAAGTAGTGTGTTCAGAAGTTATTTAAAGAAAAGGTGATTCACTGCATACACAATTTCAGACATACATAATGCCCTTATTCAGCAAGCACTAACTCAGTGCTTCTCATGTGTTTCTCGAAAATTCAAGTGTGTAACAAAGGTCATATTTCACTTAGTAGGAAGTGTTTCTCGAAAATTCAAGTGTGTAACAAAGGTCATATTTCACTTAGTAGGAAGTAATAGCGATAACAGTGTGAAAGTTCAAATCTGCTGAACCTTCCCTATAATCCCTATGTTGCACTCTAACAGGATGGAAAGGATAGACACATTTTTTCAGTTCAGAATGGAAGGGTAGAAGAAGGAAGGTCTCATTTCCAGACCCTATTTGGGCAGTGAGACATAAGATGCTGGAATCTTTAGATGCATAGAAGCAGGTAAATTGGAGGAGAGGTTTTTGGCTGCTATTATTATAGTAACTTATCAGTCACTGGTTAATTTGGGAAGGGATAGTGGAAGACTGGCTACATGTCCATCTGTAAATACTGAAAATATAGCAGTGAAGACATTAAAAGGAGCCCTCCATAGATAGAAACCATGGAAGTTTCCATTAATCTTTCTTGGGAAGATTATTACAAATGTAAGGAAGACTTTCAAATGAATTGTACTTATAGATACTGCATTTAAAATGTTTCAATTTTAAGCTTCAAAGAGTAAAGAAAGAGTTGCAAGCAGAACATGAACGAAACGTTCAAGAACTTCAGGATTCAGTGCGGCGAGCCAAAGAAGAATGCGCTCATCAAGTGGAACTAGAGAGGTCAAAGATCAAACAGCTGGAAGAGGACAAGATCCGCTTACAACAGCTGGTAAGTAAAGTTTTAAATTTCCTTTTCAGGCTGGGATACTTGCAAATAGGACATTTCAGAAGCTGTATGTTATTGAAGCAAGCACATGTTTGGGGAGCTCTTGCCATGAACATGTTGGTCCCAGTTATGCAGTGAGATTCATACCACAGTTGAGGTCCACCGGCTTCCTTTTGCATTTGGTGTGTTAGCAGAATTTTGCTTTTTAAGGCTGATTATATCTGGGAATGAAAAAACATATGCTTTGAACATTATGCAAACAAGGTTCCTTGGGTGAATCTGATATCTTTTATTAGACCAACCCAAATAGTTGGAAAATATTTATTAAGCAAGCTTTCAGGTTCAAAAACCCTTTGTCAGGCTAAGGAAGTTTCAGCAGTTGGTGCGTGCTGTTCCTGGATGGAATGAAAAGTAAAGAAGCCAGCGGCTGGGCTGGTATGCATAGAAGACAGGTAGTCAGTGAAAATGTAGATTGAGGAGTCAATGGGTGAGAGACCGGCAGGCGGCGGGGGGGATGAAAGTGGAGAGATACCTGGGGAGTCAGATGTCAGGCAGGTTATAACGTGTCATAAATGCAATGTTTATATTTAGTCCACAATTTTTAGTATCCGGGAGGCTGATGAAGTACAGTTCACAGGCTCATCTCTGGGAAGTGTTGTGTAAGTTTCCTTTGAGGATCAGGACTGAGAGATTGGAGAGAGAGTGGTTTTCTTGTGAGAAATGTGACCCCACAGGTAATTGGGTATTTCTGTCTTTGATAGATATCCGGTGTGCATTCATTCTGGTGCACAGTTGTTGTTTGGTCTCTCCTACGTATTTTCCGTCAAGGCATTTGGTGCATTGGATGAGATATATTACATTTGTGGAGGTGCAGCTGTAAGATCCAGGAATGCTGATGGCTCTGTTGTGGGGTGTAGTAATAGTGGGGGTGGTGGAGATGTGGGGGCAGGTTTTGCATTTCTTGTCATGGCACGGTCTGGATCCTTTTGGTGTGTTCTGGGGTTGAGGAAGTTTGCTTCTGGTGATGAGGTTGGCGAGGTTCGGTGCTTGTCTGAAGGCTAGGATGGGTGGCTCTGGGAAGATCTTTTTAAGAATAGGGTCTTTTTCTAATATGGGTTGCAATTTTTTGAGGATTTTCCGTACAGGTTCAAGGGATGGGTGATAGGTCATAACCAGCGGTGTGCGATTTGTGGGTGTTTTTCTTCTGTACTGCAGCAGTTCTTCACGTGGTATCCAGGTGGCTCTTTCAAACGTGCGATCTACCTCTCTGGAGGAGTGTCCTTGCTGGGTGAAAGCCTTTTTAAGATTGGTGAGGTGGCAATCCCGGGTGTTCTCTTCAGTACAGATGCGGTGGTATCTGAGGGCTTGGCTGTATATCACTGCTTTTTTGGTGTGTTTCGGGTGATTGCTGGTTCTGTGCAGATATGTATGTTGGTCTGTGGGTTTCTTGTATACTGTGGTCTGTATTTTACCCTTCTGGATACTGATCCTTGTGTCTAAAAAGGGGATGTTGGTGTTGGAGTATTCTAAAGAAAGTCGGATGGAGGGATGGTGACTGTTGAATTTCTAGTGGAACTCAATCAGAGACTGCAGGTTCTCACTCCAAATGATGAAGATGTCATCGATATATCGTAAGTACAGCAAGGGTTTGATGGTGCAGTTCTTGAGGAAGTCTTCTTCCAGGTGGCTCATAAAAAGGTTGGCATACTGTGGGGCCATTTTGGTGCCTATAGCTGTTCCCATCATCTGGAAGATGTGTTGATTATTGAAAGTGAAATTGTTGTGTGTGAGGATGAAGTGTATAAGGTCAGTAATATCTTTGGGTCTGCATTCTGGGTTGTAATCTTGTTCCTGTAGACATGTAAGGCAGGCATGGATGCCATCCTGGTGTGGGATGTTGGTGTATAGGCTGGTAACGTCCATGGTGGCTAGGAGTGTGTTGCTGGGAAGGTGGTCTATGTTTTTAAGTTTCCGTAGCAAGTCTGTGGTGTCTTGGACAAAACTTGCTCTGTGGGTGACAAGCAGTTTTAGGATGGATTCAACAAAACCTGATATTTCCTCAGTTAGGGTCCCATGGTTGGATATGATAGGTCTGCCAGGGTTCCCTTGTTTGTGGATTTTAGGGAGCATGTAAAAAGTCCCCGGGTTAGGTAGTGGGGGGATCAAGGTCTGTAGTTTTTCTTGTTTAGTTTTAGTGTTGATGGAAATGATTTGATGGTATTGTTGAGTTTTTTGGTGAAAAGGGGAGTAGGATCTTCTTGTAGTTCTTTGTAGTAGGTGGTGTCAGAGAGCTGTCTGTTGGCTCCCCCCCGCCCCAGCCTGTCTCTCACCCATTGACTCCTCAATCTACATTTTCACTGACTACCTGTCTTGTATGCATACCAGCCCAGCCGCTGGCTTCTTTACTTTTCATTCCATCCAGGAAGAGCACACACCAACTGCTGAAACTTCCTTAGCCTGACAAAGGGTTTTTGAACCCGAAAGCTTGCTTAATAAATATTTTCCAACTATTTGGGTTGGTCTAATAAAAGATATCAGATTCACCCAAGGAACCTTGTCTGCCTATGTCCTTAGACCAACACGGCTACAACCTACACCCCAGGAACATTATGCAAGACATTCGTCACCAGTTCTGAAAAGTGAAAACCAGCACAGCACAACATAGCTGGAGGGAGAGGGGAGAAGGGAAATTCCCAGGGTAGCAGATATCATTATCTGAAGAAAAGAACCTGTGATTTCAAGGCCAACAAGGAGGAAAAGGGTAATTCTCACTTTTCATGCATGGGAAGAATTCAGTAAGTAGGCAGGGTAGATTTGCATCTTATAGATTAACCAAAATAATACATAATACAGTACAGACTATATAGTTCTTAAACCTATGGTGGAAATCAGATTTCTAGAAATTCTTCTGCAAGTGGTTTATGAAGAAGTTGGCATGTTGAAGGGCCATCTTTGTGCCTTAGCTATGCCCATAGTTTGGTGGAAGTGTTGATCATTGAAAATGAAGTTGTCGCAGGTGAGAATCAAGTGATTGCTTTGTCCAACATATTGCAAATCTAAGTATTCCGTGTTCTTTTAGTTATTTCAATTTGATTTATTATTAAGGATCCTGGCTAAAAGTCGTGCTCCCGAAAACAACTTAACAGACATAGAACCATAATATATATTTAAGCAAAAATAACAAAAGTATAAATATAACAACAGAATAGGGACAACCATTATAAAAGGATTGTTCCTACTCCTAAAATTAACATAAATATGGTAATAAGTCAGATCATAACCCTATAAAATGTTTATGCACAGGTCCACAATTGACACAGTAAAAAACAAATATAGTGATAAAGTTTATCGGTCATACCAACAATAAAAGATATTTAGCTCTGATTGCTTCAGCGTTATAAACAGAAGTTGCAAGATGGTTTACTAAATATGAATCTGTTTGCTGGAGGATCCATATTAATTTCTCTCTATTTGAGAAATATGTTGATTTCTGCAAGAGTGGTGATAAATACTTTCTCCTTATGTCATTAGGGAGAAAAATAAAGGACATTCTAAGACATTAGGAGTTTTGGAAGATACTATTCATTGACAGGCTGGGCAACATCTTTTAGCCCTTGGAATGGAAAGCCTAGATATTTCATGAAGGCAGCTTTGCCTTCATGGTGTGCAGTGTTAGTGAACAAGTCGGTGACACACATCCATGGTTGCAAGTGTGTTCTTCTCAGGGAAGCGGTTGATTTATTCTGGATTCTTTTGAGGAAATCCGAGTGCCTTGTCACTCAAAGAGCAAACTTTCTACAAGTGGTTTCAGCATAATTACTATGAATCCTGATAGCTCTTCAGTGAGCCCCAGCTGTTTCCATGCCCCAAGCTCTGGGAAGGCAGCAGGTGCCAGCACTGTGCCTGTTGGAGATGGACTGGGCCAGGGCGGGGAGGCAGCAGCTGTTTGTAGACTCCCGGCTGCAGCCGGCCCCTGATCTGGGGTACCTGCTGCCAGCCATGGTGTCCGGGCGGCTCCCAGCAGGGCTTGCAGCCTCCCAGCCACCTGCTGGGAGCAGCCCCGGCTCCCAGCTGGCAGCAGCTACCCAGGGCCGGCTGCAATCGGGAGGCTGCAAACAGCTGCTGCCTCCCTGGCCCTGGCCCCAACACACGCTGAGGAAAATGGCCTCACGTGCCATGCTCGGCACACACACTGGGGGTTGCTGACCCCTGATATAGACAGTTCCTGTTCAGAATGGGATGAGGGCTGCTTGTGATAAGATAATGATATTCGTGTTCTGGGTGCTACTGTCTTGATTTCTGTCCTGTGGTGGTGGTGCGCTATTATGTACTTTTCAAGAATTTGTTAAATTGCTGGCATTTATAGCTCATTAATGATATCTCTTGCCAGCCAGACCAATTCATTTTACATTAAAGTCATATTGTCTTTTGGAACTAGCAGGGGGGCAATAACACATGCGCTGCTTTTAACTTTTATGTTATTGCAGCTTTCCCTATGCCCAAGAAACTTTACTTATGTTTTGTCCTTTAAAAAAAATTGTCTTAATAAATTAACCATTTTATTGATGTTGCAAATATGTATATATTTGCTAATGCCAGCAATTTAACAGTCTTTAAAAGTACATAAGAGTGCACCAGCAACACAGGAGGAAAATCAAGAAGCAAGAACCCTTTCTAGAGGCAAATGAATTATTGTCCTCTCTCAAGAACACTTTCTAGAGGCAAAGGAATTATTGGAATGTGTATCTTCAAAAGCAAGGGATAAAACAAAAAAAACTAGCAAGCTAAAATTATAGTGATCTAAATGTGATTTCTTACATTCCTAGATTCTCGTTCAGGAAAATGTGTGATTACACACTCCTCAAATTCAGGAGTTTTCAAAGTAAAAAAAAAAAAGTTCTGGAATGAAAAATGCTACTTAAAGTTACTGAGAAAAAGGAGAAAGGGGGAGGGGAGGCGCACAAAAAAAAAAAGCCCCCAAAACCGTCAGCTAAGCTTTATTGGCTAAGCACCGATAACAAATTATTTCAGTAGTAACATTCCTGAACAATCCATGTTTAGACATTTTATAGCTGTGTCTCTTAATGAAGTTAGAAATATGCTCCTGAATATTGTTTAAATACTTTTGAGAATATTTATCTCCTTTTGTATAGCATATGTTTTGTTTTGGCGTGTTTTGCTTTCTAATATAAGAGTTTATGTATTGTATTGTATTGTAGCATTGAGTAATTGAATTGTACTATATTACAAAAAAAATTAGCTGGATTTCATTTTAATTTTTCCTTTTTTAGTATGTCTTTAATTTCAAATTAGCAGCAATTTGGGTTTAAGCTTCATTTCATATTGAATGAATGTAAAAATATTGTTTTATATACCCTGGCTTTTTCCAATATTAAACATCCATGTGTTGGTTGAGACATTTGACAATTCAGAAAAAGCCTAGCTGTTAAAGCAAAAATAATTGATTTTCCATAAAAAAGTGTAACCTCTATTGTATCCATCTTGATCTTTTAAAAAATTGAACCAACCTTCAAAACCCATTCTAATGACCACAGGCAACGTTTTCAAATTGTGTATGTATTTCACCCAATGCCTATATCAATGGTAATGATTTCTGATCAATTGTTAAAATGACCTAAATTAAAATAGTTAACTAATTTTGCAATACTCTAGCATAAAATAAGGCTGTAGAACTGTAGAAAAAGGGTGTGATCTGGTTATGTCTCATCTTTGTTTGTATTCAAAGTAAATACAGTTATCGCCAAAAAGGCCCAGTCAGTTAACATCTTTGGACATCATGGGCTGGATTCAGATTTGGGCCATGTACAGACATTCAGTTTCTCCTGGGAGAGTTGCTGCTTTCCCAGGAGAAATCATGAGGGTACAGATGTTCAGGATTTTTCTCCCAGAGCAAGAATAACCCAGGAACAACCAAGTTTAAATCACTCCTGGCAGAGTTTCTTCTTGGAGAGCTAATGTCTGTACATGTTCTCATCTGTAAAAAGCCACAGTCTTGCAGCATCCCAGGGTGCTTTAGTCCAGCCTTTCCACACGCCCATTCTGTTTCCAGGCAGACTGAGGGAGCATCCTGAAATGTGCGAACAGGGACACTGGCTGAACAGAGTCAGCACTGCAGGTGTTCCCCTCTTCAGGGACTCAGCATTTGAATATCTGTTGAAGTGTCTCCTTGTAATTTTTCTGCCAAGAGAACAAACCTAGGAAAATTCTACCAGAAGATTTGAACAAGTGTACACAGCCTTGATATGAGCATGTTTTTTTCTACAGTGGAATTAGATTTGCTTTTATACAAATTCTGAATGTGACACACACTGTAAAAATCTAAGCTTGGATATTATTTATATCACCAAAATTCATTTTAATATGAGAAAACATAGTGAAGAATTTAAGTAAAGGGAAGTACCAATTGCCATTCAATATTGACTGGCTGATTAAACTCCGGTTGGCCTTTGGAATGCATATGTTACTTGTATTGTTCCCTGCCCAGCCCGCACTCTTTTTTTTCCCTCCACAAAACTCACAGTAGGCATGCTTATGGCTTTCTGCTGGTCTCCCCCAAGACAACATTTACATCCAACCAGAGTTCCCTGACTCCATTTCTGGACCTTGGTAATTTTGATTTTATCACAGTAATGCAGAGGTTGTCAACCAGGGGTATGCATACCCCTGGGAGTACTTGAGAAGGCCCTAGTGGGTGTGCGTATACGGGCGGGGATGAAGTGCCACCACACGCCATTCTGTGCTACTGTGCAGGTGCCACCTGCCCAGCCAGATACAGGGGAAGCTCACATGCAATGGCTGCCGCCACTCCACATTCAGCCATGCCCACCCCCACCACTCTACGTTAAGCCATGCCCTCCCCCTGGTCCGTGTCTGGCTGCCCAGGGGCACACTGATCCAAAAAGGTTGAAAACCCCTTCAGTAATATATCTCCAGTTTTCCTAAGACACGTATCAGTGACTTCAGTAGTTAATGACACACCAAGGAGGGTTTTATAGCTTTTGAGATAAATGTAGATATTTTTATGCTTCTTCTGATGCATATTAAGTTTGTCACATCCTGGAATGAAAAAGAGTGCTTTTTTCATTTCCTTCCATATTGTTGCAGTAAAGCTGAATGATGGTTCTGGCCCATTAGTTCCTAGTTCTGAGAGAAGATATGATACCTGGTAACTGAATCATCACAAATTAGCCTCACTCCGGTGTTGTTTATAGATATGATGCTTAGGCTGGTTTAAATGCAGTTTTAAAACTCAAACATCCAGACATACAAGCCAGTTAAGGCTGGTTTAAATCTGAACTGTTTCAGAAGTATACCTAGATAACTGACTCTTATTTATCCCACAATGCACTGCTCCCTTCCCCAACCCCTGCATGGCAACTGGCTGCTCTGGTACACAGCTAACACTCTACTTTCCCAACCTCTATTGCCTGTGCTTGACTTGAGCATCCCTGGATGGAGTTCTAGGAGCAGGTCTCAGCCCCTTCTAAAGATCTGGTCAGTTCCCTTCTGTGGGTGCCAGTTGGCCAGGGTTCCATACATCCCAGGCTGCCCAGGGACTCTACTGCCACCAATGGAAGGAAGTTTACCAGCTTTTAAAAGCAGCAGAGAGCTACTACCCCCTGAGCTCCCAGCCGTGTGTGTACAGACACCTCTTGGTTTGACTTTGGGGCATGTAGGGGTTTTTCAGGTCTTCTAGAACAATCAAGGTTAGACATTCATTTTGAGTCTTACTGCTGCTGGCATTGTTTTCAAGTTCAAGCATATTAGTTGTTCTGTTCATGGTCAACAGCCTATTAATTCCTTTATAAATAAAGCCATAAGAATAAAAAAAAAGGCATATCTATCTGTCTTGTCATTACAAATAGTTATTTCTTATTAAATGACATAGATGAAAAATAGTTATTCTTGTAGCTTATTTTAAAGTGCTGTTTTTTTCAGACTATGTATCTGTACCAAGTGACCTGAACAAATACTGGTAGGTCAAAATAAATAAAACATCAACAAAAGTTTCATGCATCTAACTAAAATGATTTTTTTCTATTATCTGACTTTTCCCTATATCTAGTAAATAATTTTTAATGTCTTATCAAGCATTTATGTAACTGTTCAAAATGGGTATGTTGAAATTACTGGTTACTGTGAGAGTTAGTTTATAATGGAGTTAATATGGTCATGTTTTGGTAAGGTAGTATCTTTTAAGTTACCTGTTTTTTTAGCAAAATCTTCCTTTCTATTTTTATCTTCCTGCAACACTGCAAGAAACTGTGAGGTCAGAGGTACATGGGATTTAAGACGTTAGTCACTGAAGCCTTCTTTTCAGGCTTTTAAATCATTATTTGGCTGAACAAAGTATTGTTTCCTCTTCCAGACATTCCTGAACAAATTATGTTGGTGAAGTTGAGTCAATAATAAAAACTTTTTACAGTAGTTAAACTGTTTTTTTCTGAAATTGTCCATTTGTTTATATACTTGAGTAATTTTGCCTGTAATCATTTGCAAGTTGCAATTCAGAAATTGGGTGAATAATTATTTTCACATTTTAAGTCGTACTTATATCAAGGGAAATTTGGATTTTTCTTTAAAGTGCTAACCAAAGCTTTCCGTAAAATTCTGTGTGCGCATCATAATTAAGAAATCATAACTTATGAATATGAAGCGTTCAGTGTCTGTTTTATATAAACTAATAAACTGAAATAAAATCTTTTTGATCCAGGGATTAATTTTAAGTACTGTGACATTCCTTTTTCTGTGCATGCTTTCCACTGTTAAGTTACCGTAATGATCGCTATATGTGGGTATTTTCTTTTAATGTAGCTTTATGAAGCAGAAAATAAGTATAAGATATTGGAGAAGGAGTTCCAGCAGTACAAGGAGCAGCAAAGTAGCAAACCAGAGATTCGGCTACAGTCAGAAATAAATCTTCTTACTTTAGAAAAGGTACTCATGGATTTCACTTTTTTTTTTTTTTTTTTAAGCAGTATATATCCATAAGTAATGAAGAAGAAGTAGTACTCTGTTTCTTAGATGAAACTGATTAATTTTCTTTCAGCCATTAAATAACTAAACCCAGTTGTGGGTGAAAAGTAATCTTGTCAAATTCAGTTTGAGGCCTCTGGCAGACATTACACTTAAGACGTGATGAACTAGTGCCCTGGATGCTGAGAGTAATTTTTAGTGCTTCCAGACTCTGGGGCAGAGCAGAGAATTTGATTCCGATTAGAAATGCCGATACATCGGTCCGATATTGAATTGGTACTGATATAAAGAAGATTGGCTGTATCGGAAATCGGCCCAATGGGGCCAGTAATTTGGCCAATAAATGCCCGTGCTGCATGCAGCTGCATTGCAGCGCACAGGCATTGAGGAACGGAGCTGGCAGTGTGGAGAGCGGCTCTCAGCTGGTAAGTCTGTGTGTTGGAAGGGAAGGGGCATGAGGGGGGCAGATCAATGCCCCCTGAAGTGAGGGAGGGGGCGCACAGGCAGGTGCTGTCTGGGCAGGGCAGGTGCAGGACAGAGCTGTGGCTTGTTTGCGGGGGGCGAATCCCACCACTGCTTGCACCCCAGGATCTACCAGGGTAGGGCAGGCAGGCTGGAGCCAGAGCTGCACAGGGCTCTTCTTGCCGGGATTTGTCTCAGCGTGGGCATTGGGAGGGGGCTGCAGCCACCCCAGATTTCACCGCAGCTTCACTCCCAGTGCTGCCGCATGCCTGCCTGGCACCGCCCTGGCTCTTCCTGGCACATGGGTGGAGGCAGGGCATTGAGCCGGGGCTGTGTTGGGCAGTGGCGCTGGCAGCGGAGCTGTGACAAAATTTGGGGTGGCTGCAGCCCCCTCCTGCCAAATCTCAGTTGGCTGACAGGAGCAGGTGGGCTGCCAGCTTTTGCAGGCTTGGCTAGTGCACTCAGGTTACCCTGGTAGCACCAGGGAGAACTAACCAAGCTCTCAAAGCCCATGGGATACTGGCGGAATTGCCAGAAATTTTGACCAGTGTACAGAAGTTATTTAAAGTGCTGTAGTTTGCTAAAATTTAATACCTTATTTAACAAGGATTAATTTAAAGCACCCTTTTTTAAAGTGCTGTAAAGCCATGCACTTCTGTTTAAGTAATGGCAATAAAGCACTTTAAATGCAGAAAAAAGCAAGTTATGTACACACCCTTGGAATTTAAGAATGACATTCCTTTTTTATTTCTTCTGTATTAGCCAGTAGCAACCCTAACCAGGGTGGGGACTGACAGGACACTTCAGTCTGTCTGTTTACTTCATACTTTTGGCTAGCTACCAGCAAGGAAATGAGTGACACTGTTTTTGCCATTTGAATGCTTATTTACAAAGATTTTAACACAGGCCATCAAATCATTTTACATATGAACAGCCTACAGTATACTTGAACTGGATTCTAAGTACTGGGTGACTGAAGAAGTAAAAGGTCCATATTGCTAATCCTCAGGGACATCCTACATGTTGTCAAGTAAAGCCATTGATTTATTGTTATAAGCATCATCCTGGAGTGTGTTGTCTCACTTTTTAAAAAGTGATTCTGAAGAGCAATGTACAAGATTGCATGTTGATTTGGAAGCCTTGCTTAATATCTAATTATTATACATATACTTAATATATTTTTCTCCGTATTTAGAATGCAAGCATCCTTCAAAAAATAGTTGGTACGTCTTCTGATCTTGTATTTCCTTTTAATATCCCTACAGGTGAAATGGTAAACAGTTTGTGTAATTAAAAAAACTAATCAAACTTCTGCTTAAGGTCTTGAACTGCTTGACTGGACTGTTTACCCCTTTGTGGAACAGTCATAACCACTGCTTTTAAAATAAAGTTTCATAAGAAAATAAATTCTGAAAATCATTTTTATAAATAGTTAACTTGAAGCTGACACAATTTTTTTAGCAAATGGTTTAGTAAATTTCAAGGAAGATTAGATCAGTGGTTCTCAACCTTTTTAGACTGAAGATACTCCTCACTGCACTCAGGGCACCCCACAACCCTTCCATAACTTTAGTGAATGGAGAAACACCATTTCAAAATTTCTGATTTCTTTACATCATGCGGCACACTTCAGAGGATCCCAAGGCACCTGAAGGGGCTCCAGGACCCTGGTTGAGAATCATTGGATTAGATGATCATATGGAACTATTAGAATTAAAAAAAAAAAAAAGAGAGAGAGAGTGCTGCAGCTGACAGAATTAAAAAAAAAAAAAAGAGAGAGAGAGGGCTGCAGCTGCCTGTTGTCAAGAATTTCGTAATAATTTTTGGACCATCATAGATACCCATCACTCTTATACAGCAGCAGGGGCAGGCAATTATTTTGTCTGGAGGGCCGCTTATTGAGTTTAACAAGCTGTCGAGGGCCGCATGGATAGCCCCACCCTTTGAGAGTTGCCCTGCTCTCGGTCGCCATACTGGGACCGGGCATCCTGCCCTGCCAACACCTGACCTTTGCCACCAAAAGTCCCGCCCCCTACCGCAAAGCACGCCGTTTGCAAGGGAGGGTGCTGCAATCTTGAAACCAGGGAAAAAAACCCAAATCATATACAAAAAAAATTATACATCTGCTATAACTTACTTTTATTTATTTAAAATATTTTTGTACTGTGTTTGTGCAGTGTATCTAGAGGTGATTGTATAATAGCTCAAAATACAGTCCTACTGTATATTGTGTGTGGATGGTGGAGGGGTGTATTTTGGGGGTGGGTGGATGTGGGTGTGTGTGGTGGGGTGTGGGTATGGCGGGTGGGTGTGGAGGGGTGTGCGCATATGGTTGGGGGGAGCTGTGGGAGGGGTGTAGGACAGAGAGAGACGGGGCCAGGCTTTTAGCCCCATTGTGTGTGGCTTTTGCGGACTGCATGGGAGCCCCATGCAATGCAGACCCCGCACCCAGGCTTTGTGCTCCTGCCACCCCACCCTGGGT